AGAGAGAGAGAGAGAGAGAGATCCTAACCTACGAGCCAGTTGTCTACAGACTTGTGCTAGCATGTGTTCACAGTGTACTGTAATATGAGGAAGCTTAAGCTGTGATCACAATACACTCTAGCTAAGGTCCCAAGATTAGGTGACAGAGACATCATTCACTATGTTCACAATCATCTGAAGACCACTGGCCTGCCTTTTATAATGGAAAATAGTGAATGTCGACAGGGGGTGCTCTTAGTGACTGCAGCTGAGGAGGTATCCTGTCAGGACCCTAAGGGAAGGCCAGTACAGAGGCCTAAATGGTAACAGTTCCCCCATACTTATTATAGCATACCATGTGGATTCATCCATGTCAAACATACATTGATGTGACTGTATGTCTTATTTCCAAGAAGATTTTCAGATACAGGATGATGGTGGAAGGAAAACATAAGATATAAACACTAAATGGGAAAACTAAACTTCTTTCTTGATGACAAGGCTGCAAATTTGTCACTGAAATGAACCTTTCGACATGGTGTTAGTCACAGCATATTTGGGCTCAGTGCTGTTTCTTCAGGGTGGTATATGCTGGTTCCTGCCTACTCAGTCACTTATTTAATAACATTCATGGAGAGTGCTAATGGGTTTCTTCAGGAAAATTAATAGTTGTAGGTATTACTCACATTATAAAAGTGTACAGAATGTAACTTGAAGCATTTGCCAAGGCCTTAACCATGAGTTTAGCTTTAGAATAGAGCATATGTCTATTCACTTTGATTTTACATAACTCAATTTTTCATCTTATTTTCACATTTATTTGAAATAATACTGGCTTATTCTAAATCCACACTGAGGAGATGTAGGGATGCATTCTCAAGGAAACTAGAAAACTAACTAAATGGAAGAGGTTCTAGAGGGTTGAGCAGTGGAAACCTCTCTTTTCCAAGCAAACTTGAGGTTGGAACATGAAGTTTGTTCAGATGATGCTAAAAATGTATCCTGTAAAGTTTAACATATGTTCTTATATATTTCAATGGCAATTTTTATTAAAGATAAATACATTTTTATACACATATTCTGATTGGGGACAACACAGCTCTTAGCTTTTGTAATTCAGAAAAAATAGTTTTCAATTCATTTTTTCAAAAGTACTTTGAATTCCACATTTATTTTTTTCTAGGATGAGAATATATTTTTTGATTGATAGTTGGCAGGTTTGTAAAGATATCTGTGTTAGAAGTTTGATGTGTTTACATGTTTATAAAGGAAATTCTCTGACTTGAATTACAGTACCAGAGTAACAATTCTTTCATTCAGTATTATCCTCCCGTATCATCTGCTGCTTCTCCGGTTGTGCGTTCATTCAGGTAATGCAAACAGTACTGTCTTTACATTCAGTAACGCATCACGTACAAGTTAGCACTGATTCTGAAGGCCAGAACTAATCGTGTGCTAGTGTCTCCATGTGTCTCTCAAGTTGTGACTGCGACAAAGGTCAAATGAGTCTGCTAATATTCTGAGGCTGAGGACAAACTGGCCAGAAATGTCCAATTTTCACAAACAGGAGAAATTTCTTAAGTTGTGTTATGTATGTTCAGTTGTGTGTGTGAGTTTATCAGGCCTATACAACAAGGACTCTATCTACTAAGCAATCCCTTTAGCTCTGAAATCTGGCTATATCTCCTTCTTTCTTTAAAAAAAAAAAAAGCACATTCCAACTAATCTGGTATTAACTAAGTTTTTCAAATATCCTTATTGTCATTTTAATTTTGCATGCTTCAATATTTGCTGGAATGGTCAATCAACATTACATTTTAAATTATTTCTAGCATGGGATTCATTATGCTGACTAAAGAACCACAGTTTTCTTGGTTATTATTATAGGATATTTTAAATGAATTAATATTCAGAACTAATTAGAATGCATTTCACAGCTAATGAATCATGCAAATGAGGTCCTGCTTTAGAGAAATACACAAAAAGACATTCTAAAGACTGGGTAATCAGCACACCATACTGTGTTTGCTTTATGTTTCATATCAGAATAATACTATTAAAGCCTAGGGTAATGTCTTTTGGTTATGTTTTAATTACTGAGACTTAAAGAGGAATTTGTCTTGTCAGGTATGGAAAGAATTAGGCTTCTGCAAATCAGAATCCTTTAGAAGTGTATCTAGACTGTGAGAGGAGTGATGGGATAATTTAGATTATAGCATATTCCTACAGGATAAGAGCTATAGTTTTCCTCAATTGGTCACCGAAAAAGTTGTCTTCACAGGCTGTGTGCTATTCTTCAGAAATGATTCTTATTATTTGACATTCCTTGCATTAACATAGAAATATCACTTCAAAAGATGGAATTTACTCTCTTCCTCTCTGTGTTCTGTTCCTGGGACAGCTTCCAGGCAGATCCATGGAAAGTCCAGACAAAGTCTCCACCTTGAAGCAGTACCAACTTCTGGACTTTGGAAGAAGATTGATCTTTTAAGTCATATCCATGCTGAGGTCGACAACACATGGATCAAAAGAAATTCTTGGTCACTCTGCAAAACTGAGAGACAGAACACATTGTGTTGTTTAAACTGACTAAGTCTGGGGTGTGTGTGTTATGCAGCTTAAGATAACAAAATCTATGTGTAATAAATAGTGCTCTGTTTCAGATCAACTCTTGCAAATTTAACTCTGCTTTGTTGTAGGAAGTTTCCATTTTTTTTCTGCTTGTTTTATTTTATTTTATTGTTGTTAGTTTACCACAAATTGCTTTGGAGAATTGCAGCACCTACTATGATGAAGAATAAAGCTAACTATTATTGTAATAAAATTAACAATCAAAAGAAGCAGGCTATTTCAACACAGGATATGTTTTAGACCTGATGGGACAAGAAACTTTATTTAAGAGAATTGCGTGATCCTAGTTAATCTTAACAATAAAAACCCAGAGTCTGGTATTGAGAGTTAAAGCTGAAAGATCAGAGAAGCAGAGCAGCAGCCACTAGAAACTTGTTAACTCTACAAATCCTCAGATGGAGTGAGGACCAAGATCCTGTCTCTACCCACCTTATATTCCTGTCTCCACCTCTCTAGCGCTAGGATTAAAGGCATGCACCACCACTACCCAGTTCTGTTTCTCTTTTAGACTGGATCAGTCTCCTGTAGCCCAGAGTGGCCTTGAACTCCTGATCTTCCTATTTCCTCCTCCCAAGTGCTGGGACTAAAGGTGCGTGCCACCACTGCCTGGCCTGTGTAGTTAACTATTGGCTAGCTCCACACTCTGATCTCCAGGCAAGCTGTATTTGTCAGAACACAAGCAAACAAACAAAATCATATTACAGAGAATAGACATTAAGCCCAAGAAATGTTCTTATTTGGAGTCTGAACAATCACTGCAAGGAGAAGTGCAGACATTCTTTGATAGTTTCTGGAACTGAATTTTGAGAAGAGGGAAATACTGAATTGTGATAGTTTGAAGAAACTAAGTATGGAAGTGGACATCTGAATTCTCATACTGGAAAGCTGAGGCAGGAAGACTGACAACTTGAGGTTAGTTTGAACTAACCTCGAAATGAAAGCGGAGGCAGAATGTAAGTAACAAATACATGGATAGAAAAGGAACTGTCACTTGTAGTCTGTGAAGATGTCCTATCACAGTTGTGCAAATTCTGTGGTCATATATGAATGAGGTGTGTACCCAAGTGTGACATGGAGCATAGGCAGAAATGGAGGCAAATGCTCTAGAGTCTCCTTGCAGCAATATGTGCTAAACTGAATTATGGGGAAATTCTATAGGGTCACAGCAGATAGAGTCTGTCTGATATCACCCTCTGTCCCCTTTAGTACCTTTACCATTTATAGAAGCCTCCGGATATACACATGATTAAAGATGTATACCACTGTATTGTTGTAAGATATTTGATTACACTGTGTAAGGATGTGTCACTGTGAATAGTTTAATAAAAAGCTGAATGGCCAATAGCTAGGGAGGATTTGGGGGGCAGAGAGGATGCTGGGAAGAAGAGGAGTGGAATCACAAGGAGATACCAGAGACCCAGGGATGCAGAGCAAGCAGCATGGGGTTTGCAAGGTAAAGATAACTAAGCCATGTAGAAGAATGTAGATTAAAAGATGTGGGTTAATTTAAGTTATAAGACCTAGTTAGAAACGAACCTAAGCTATCGACTAAACTTTCATAATTAATAAGAAGTCTCCATCTTGTGATTTGGGAGCTTGGTAGAGGGACCCAGAAAGATTCATAGCAGTGTATGCTTTCATTTGTATCAACAGAAAAAAATATACTCTAGCTTACTGAAATGTTGAAGAAGTGCAGTGTCTTCTCCTAAATGGAAGATTCACTTTCAGAATTATATCAAGGATATAGGGTTCAACCTACTTTATTAGTTGGCATAAGGTTCTCAATAGCCCAGCCCTCTTGTGATCTACTTTGTTTCTTCATAATAAATAAAGGTATCATTCCTGAATCACATACATAAAGAAGTTTATGTATCAATTTTATGTGTGATTTAATTATATGATTTTGTTTTTAGTTGTACTATTATGTGTGCATGTTTTTTAAGATGAGATATGTAAAATTTTCCAAAGAAAATTAATAAACACCACTGCAATTCCACAGTGAGGATAAAAACATTTTCTAAGAGGAAAATATGTATATGATAATCATATCATGGTTTTCAAAAGGGATTTCTGTGTATTGTCATTTTTATTTTTTCAGAGATATATGACACAGATTCTTCAAAATCCCTTATGAATAGCAGATACTTGAGGAGTTCTTTGAGAAGTGTAATCAATTCTATGCTTATCTTTGGCCTATGCTAGCCAATCACATCTTCTGCACACAAGTAAAATTCTTCTAGCCTTTATCTCCACCTCACCTCATCTGTCCCTGGGTAGGAGAGAATGCTTGACAAGAGAATCAGCAGCAGAGTCAATCTCCAGCTCGGTTATTCATGCTCCAGCTTCTGCTTGCTCAGTGTTTTCAAAGTAAGAAGGAAGAGATAACTTAGAAGTTATGAGGCCATTTGGCAATAAATATCTGTGCACATTTTCTATCACATGGTTAAGCTAGATTATTGTTATTGAAATTAAAGAAAATGTTTTTTTCTGGAAAAAAATGAGTACATGAAAACAATAAATTTGGAATCAAATGGCAGGCCTACTTTTATATTTCCAGCTTTGGAAAAATAAAGGGACTATGTGTAATTCTGGTGGAGGAGTTTTGTAGGTAATTCTCTTAGTTTGCTTTCTTTTTCTGTGGTAAACACAATGACCAAAAGCAATTTGGAGGATGAATTGGTTTATTACATTGTAATAAAGAGAAGTTAGGGCCTGAACTCAAGGCAGGAACTGAAGGAAAGACCACAAAGAAATGTTGCTCACTGAACTGCTCTCTGTAAATTGCTCAGCTTTCTTATAGAACTCAGGCCCACTTGCCCAAAGGTGGTACTGTCCACAGTGGGTTGGGCATTCCCACATCAGCATTTAATCAAGAGAATGACTTCAGGCTTGCCTCCAGAGTAATGTGAGGGAGACATTTTCTACATTGAGGTTCCCGTGTCCAAGTGTCAAGTTGTGACAAGTTGACAAAAACTAACCAACATGTAATATAATCCCACTCTTTAGGAAATAAAGATGGCTACTGTCTAGGAATTAAGTGAACTCTGAGAGGGGGGAGGGAGGGAGAGAGAAAGAGAGAGGAAGAGAAGGGGGAATTACATGTAGACGGTAACAAATCTCTGGTAGATTTTTTTTTTTGAGGAGCCTGAAACACTGATAGAAATATAATATAATAATCACCAGCTGGTTGTAGAATTTACCCTGTTTTATAAGAAAATGAAGGCAGCTTCAGCAGTGCTGTGAGTATAATGTACAAATGGAAATCAGATTTTCTGTGCTATTTCTATTTGAATATGTTGTAATCCAACACTAGGGTACATAAAAATAATATTTCTAGACATAATGCCCCATGGTTTGACAACTTGGAAATTAGGTCTGAAGCCGGCTGGCTATGGTATCATCCACTTATACTCTCAGCACTTAGGAAGGGAAGGTAGGAGCATCAGGAATTCTAGGTTTTCCTTAAGTATAGGGTAAGTTCTAGAACAACCTAGGATTCAAGAGGCTCAATCTCAAAACACATAACACTAACAAAAAAACAAATATGGTCTTCTTTAGTTAGTTCTCCCATCCCATTTCAGGTAACTATTCAAATGCCCACATGCACTGTTCATAAGAGGAGAACAGAAATTGGCCAAAGAATGTGATAAAGTTACAGAGACATGTTTTATGAAGTGTTTGTTATTGACTATAGAGATGGAATGATGTTAATAAATGTGAGTAGTATATCTGGATAATTTTCCCTGATGATTTTAGAAACAGTAATGAAGAAAAATCAAGACCAATGTTCATATCTGTGAGAAAGCCATCATGGATGAGACTGTTTTTGTGGTTAGAGCTGTGGGAGTTTTTTTTCATGCTTCAGCTTTCTAATCTCTGTAAGTGTCTGCCCCTACTCATGATTATGGAAAAGCAAAGTCATGGCCTAGAATATGCATAGAAATATGATCTAAGATCACAACACAAGCCCTTCACAGATTTTTCTTCAGGCTTTGTAGAGGAAAGCAACTGAGTTTAATTCCTCCAAGCCTACGTGTAGCCTGGCACGAGCAGGTGACTGACCACTGTGTGATGCTATAGACTGTGTTCTCAACACCAGAATTTATTTGGAATGTGTTCCTTCCCTTATTTAAACATTTTTGCGAATTTCACACATACATGTTATATTATCACCACTTCAAACCCTCCCCATTTCTCCTCTAACTTCTCCTAGACCCCACTCCCTTTCAAAGCCATTACCTCTTCTTAATTATTTTCAGATGCACACATACACACACACACACACACACACACACACACACACACACACACACAACTTGCTGAGTCCTCTTAGTGTTGCTCATATGTATACTTGTTTAGGAGTCACCACTTCTGTTTCAATAGCTATATCAGGAAGATGAAACCTAGAGAAGACTGATTCTCCCTCTTGTCCCTTAGCTGTGCTTATGGATTATATTCCCAATGTGGTTTTATCACTGTCAATATCAAAACATGGCAACTCAATGTGTTAGGTTTGTGAGGTTTTAGGTTGGAGTCAAAGATTATGGCACCATCTTAAAAACTATAGTAAACCTTTGACTACAAATTATAAGTTTTGACTCTATAGTGACATGAAAAGATACTTATGCCTGCTTGAAAAGGAAGATGCTTTCCTAATACCATTTCCCTACCATGTTAAAAAGTTGGTCTTATGAGCTTATTAGCTTTTATGAGCCCCCACACAAAGCTTTTGTGCACAGTGCAGTCTGAATTGACTAGATGCTTTAGGACTGATTAAAAAGTGAATGTTCTGCCTTCTTGTAATTCCCACTGGACTCTGTTGCACACTCTCCCTACATTTCCCTGTAAAGAACGCAATGTTTTAGAATGGAGGCGAAGTGGGAATGATGCCCTATGCTGAGTGGGGAGCTATGGCAACTGACAATTGCTGGGAAAATGAGATTTGGGTTTTTTGTTTTGTTTTAGCTTGGTTTTTTTGTTTGTTTGTTTGTTTAGGATGTTGACTTGGCCCGAGTTCATGCACTCACTGGCATGTAT